AGGCTATGTCCCCGCTATTAAATAAATTAATATCGCTAATCATTTGCCTTCTTCTCAAACAATTCTCTCGCGATGCCGCGACCGGCAGCGGGTTGAACCAGAAATGTTTTTCTTCGGTTTTGTTTGTTTCCGTTAACTGTTACAGGTTGTTCTGTATACGGACGAAACTCTTTCTGGTCTATTCACTGTTTAGAATTCGTTCTTTTTGTGCAACGGTACATCATCAATATTCTTCAGTCGATCTTTCATGTCGCTGAGCTTCAAAGAATTTGATACGAATAGGAGCTCTTTATGCGACGGGCTACATTGTTACGAACGACACAGACATATTACGTATCCATGGGGGTCCATTTTCATGACACACACCGGGGTTAATCTCGCGGCTAAACTTTACGCTCTAAATGTATCGTGGCCGAAAGAGGTCGGTACATTTTATTGTTCGAAGCTGTGAATCATTGGCTCACCGTCTAATAGATTTCCCGAGCCCAAGAGACGAATGAGTCGGTTGCTCGAATAATCAGATAATAATGTTCTTCGGGATGCTCCTTCTCGGAAGCAGTACGTCGTGTTGTCAGAACTGGCACGGAAATCTTGACACCTGGAAAAATTGAACAAGGGAAATAGAAGACACTAGAGAACGATGATTTTGAGATTGAAGACTGAAAGAAAGACTCGAAGCATTCATAAATGATAATTAATCGATTGTGAAATTATCATGTGATAATGGCAAGCAACATAATCTCTCATTCAACATTTAAAAGAAGCGGCAAATTCTTCTTGGACAACTCGCAAATTAATATTATTATTCTAAATCACGGGGACAGTTTCGCAGGTAATTACGAGCCCAATCATCGATTTAAACATAACGACTGTACAGCTGAAATAAATTCGATAAAGTTCCTTTACACCCGCTGGCAGAAATTGATGGTTTTCAGATATTTTATACAAAAGCGCGCTCACTTTCCACCATTGTGCCATTATGCTCATTGTTCGAAAGCCTTGAATTTTGACACTTCTGTCGTTATATCCGGCGCAGACGGGACTCGTGGAAGTACCGTGTCGAAGCTTAACAATAGTACTTATCCTTTCGCGCGATTGGAAGGGTTGCGTGTTCGATTTTGTTCTAATCGACAAGCCCCTCCGGGCGTCGTTCTCATCTTACGCTGCAGACGACAGTGATTTCTGTATTGTTAGCCAAGCACAATTCCGCGCTGAAAATAAACGAAACCGAAAACTAGAGTGTTGTTTGGTACGAATTCGTACTTAATGTCCGACGAACCCTCTTCGAGACAGTCCGTGGAAGGAGTTGACAACCCCTTCGTGGAACCCTACATCTTCTCCTCTGCGTACTTCTCCGTCACCTTTTGTAAAGGCATTGCGTTTGATAGAGATTTTTTCAACGGGAGTGCATCTCGTATTTCCGGGTTAATCTTGAAAATTGAGGAGGCTTGCCAGCAGGGTAGGTGAATGGAAAATGTTGGAGGGATTTCTTTGAAGAGGTGCAAATAATAAGAATTATCCAAATGTCATACTAAATGTAAATTCCATCTCTCTTTTAAATTTTATCTTAATGCTTCGAATTAAATTTTTTTAGTGATTTTTTCGAACGGTATTGTAAAACTACTTTCACTTTTTTTTTTAATTACTTTACTTAAGGTCACAACAACTACAGGGACCACGTCAATATCTACAATTCAATTACAATTTATTTATTATTTTAAATTTCGTTAATATATCTACTAGTTTGAGAAGTTCGTTTCTATTGTTGAGGATTGTCTGCATATTATTTAAAAGTTTGAACTCTACTCGATCGTGTCGCACTCCTTGACATTCTTCAATTAAGTGTTTAAATGTGGGATGTTCGTCATAAAAGGTACTTCCACCTTGAATTATAAATACCTGATCTAATAACAGAAATTAATTCATCGAAATATTCCGAGTCCGAGTCTGAGTCCGAGTTCCCAAAGCTCGAACGATTTTTTTTCCACGTTTACCATATTTGAATTTGCACCATGTTTCACCATTTTACCGGTTGCCAGTCAATCCGATACAATGGCGATTTAATCTGTAAACTTATTTAACCCCATTCTGCGGAATAACGATGCTCGTAACCGTTCGTTCACATTTACATTCTCATCCAGAATTCAGCGTTCAATAAATACGTTAATATTTGTTCGTTAATAAATTAACAATATTCGTTGTTTTTTTTTCTCCGTTTACGAAGTAGGTCGAATAGCTTTTTCCCAGATTTCACCTATTATAAATTCGACTTCAGTTTCGCACCGAGCACAAGTGCAGTCGATATTTTTATTCGGAGCGATTTCGAGCTCTCCGATCGAGAACAACGATGAGTTGCTAACAGGAGGCGTAAATCTCGGCTGGCGCGAAGCGAAACGAACTGGTGCTCGCGAGAATTTCGAGTGTTGCGAAATGAAGTGAAACGCTGTCGATAATTTTTCATGGACGCGATTTTCGCGCGGAACGAATATTCACGATTCTTTGAAAATCTATGGTTAAGGTTGCGTACATTTCACCTGTTAACTATAATTCTAACAGAACGTATTGAAAACAGATTTATTGATTATAAAGAAACACCAACTTATTTAAGAAATGGATCCTCTGAACCTGAATTATTGAGCATGTTAAATGACGAGTAAAATAGAATTAATAAACAAAGTTGCTACGAACAAAAATAATTTCCAAATCAAAAAAATTCGATCTGAACAATCATCTTTCATGAATTTTTTCTACTTCTCCCTGCATATTACACAGAAATCAATCAGCTCATTCTCAAAAAACACATCAAACATCACTTACAATATACACAAGTCTACATTACTATGATCGTTTCGTGGAACTTTTTTCTCCTCCAGAGTCAAAGCCTGAAAAAGAACGCTGTAGGAACGCGTGTAAAAAGGAACGAATCCGGGATACAACTAGATTCTTTAATCTCGTCGGTCGTTCGACGCGTATCTGTGACGGATGTTCGCACAGATACCTGTGCGCGTCTATCGAGTTTCGGTTTCGTGCTTTTTAACTTTATAGCCGCGGGACTGAAAGAGCTGTCGATGTTTTTTTCCCACCACTCTCAGGGCTGGGTTCTTTCTCTTTCTTTTTTTTCGAAATGCAAAAATAAGCGTACAAGGGGTGGGGAAAGGGACGGGCAGAGGAGTGAACGGTTCCGCGCGCAGAGAAGCCGAATTCATTAAAATGTTCGTGCGAAAGTACTCTGGGCGTTCGTGAGCTCCGATTGCGACGAAATAGAACAGCGAAATGATTTAACGCTTTCGCGTACATTGTGGAGTAACTATGTAGGAAATGAAGGGTAGAGGGAAGCAAAAGTGCTTCGCGATCGTAATGGAAAAGAACGAATCTCGTTCGTTGGGAAACCGCGGCACCTCGTTTCCTGAAAATTGTAGGACGACGGAAGTCTTGTGGATTGCACGAATTGGCCGTGTTAACTCGTTAGGGATTGTTGTTAATGAGATGGAGCTGGGAATTGAGCAGCTTTTATTTTTATTATTACACAGGGCATTTGAGAACTCCAAACACAAATTTGAGTCGTTAATAAATGTAGAGTTAATTACGGTGGGTGTAGAAAGTATTCGTACACCGATCAATTTCCAAAAGAACTGTGTAAAATTGTAATTTATTAACTTATTTTTTATAAACAATGACATTCTACATGTTCTAGGAAATGTCTAGAATAGATAGATTACAAAAAAAAATAGCTATTTATTAAGTTGCGAAATTAACAAGAAAAAAACAATTAATCGATAGAAATATTGAAGCAATAAGTATTCGCACAACTGTTTAAAAGTACTTTCCTGGAAATTTGATGTTTTCTAATTCGCACGGAGCAATAAACTAATATGTTTACGTTACAAACTCTGCTGTAAATGGTTCGTCATAAGAATCGTACAAATACTTATTGCTTCTATACTTTTACCCACTTTTCGCATTTTTTTGTTAATTTCACAAATTATATTAACTAGTAAATATTGTTTGGACTATATTTATCTTAGAGACTTCCGAGAATATGTAAAATATCATTGATTATAAAAAATGAAGTTAAGAAACTACAATTTCACACAAAATTTTTTTGGGAAATTAATCGGTGTACGAATACATTCTACACTCACTGTATATACCACTCTAGAATTGGTACGAGGTACGAGTTGATATGTGGTTCCATTTAGGTGTAATATATTTTGTATATTAAATAAGAATTTTATTTTTAATTATAAAATAGCTTATCGTTTGAATTAATGTTCGATTTACCGTGTCGAATGTTATCCATATGGAATATATGTAATATATGCAATAGGATAAACTAAACATTAATTCATACGGTTCGCTATTTTACGATTAAAGATAAAAGGAACGACGAAACCTCGCTTTGGCTTTTCAAGTTCAGTCGAAATAAAATACACAAACACGTACTCGTGTCGCGCAGATAAATAAACCATAAGGTTGACACGAGCGATTAGAGAATAACGACTCGATAGAAAGATTTTACTGGGAACACTGCTAATGCTGAGAAGCATACTTCACACATGAGTAACAATTCGAAGTACCTTGTGCCACTGGCCACTTCACTTTTTATCGTCTCGAAAATTCCTCCCGAAAAGAGATTTACCTCAAGTGTAAGCCCACCAAACGATTCGTTTCGAGATTACGGAATCATTAAAACTCCATTCATGAAGCACTGAATACCGGTAATGAATCATGAATACCAGTGGAACGAAACTGGGACAGAAATTGATCAGCAACCGTGATAATGGACCAACAAATATTTTAAACATTTTAAACCGACAAAACTCAGAATTTAGTAACATTGTATGATGATGGCGCGAATACAATCATGAGATTACTCGCTATTGTAATGGGAGGAGGGGGGGGGAGGATTATATACAAGCAGTACATTGATTAATCTTTATAAAAAGAATATTATTCGAAGAACGTACAAATAGTTTTTATTTAAGAACAACAGCTGAAAATTACGATAGATTTCAAGAGGGTGGAAATGAAACTAGTGGTGCCTTATGGTGGCAGGAAGCTCAAGTACCTACCCAGCAACTCATACATTACCGATTTATAATTAGAACTTGATTTCATTTCGACTTCCAAGTAACACTGGAACTGTTTGAATATTCTGCACACATTTAAAACCTGCTGAATTAAAATATTGAACTAAAATATTATTATTCGAGTAATATAATTGTGGGATATTCGAATATTATTATTCGAGTAATATAATTGTGGGGTACTCGAATATTACTATTCAATTACCCGAGTGTTCGAGTATTACATGATGATTATTATTACTCAAATATTACCATCGAATTACCATCCACTTACCGCGAGATCCAGTTTCCTTGTCGGTAAAGACGGACAGCTGACTGTGTGACCTGAAAAGATCAATGAAAATGATAAAATTTCGAATCGTTTCGAACATTATTTAATACTTAAAGGTCATTTAAGTCTAGAAAATCATAAATATCATCGTCATGACGAGATTGTTTCCCGAATTAAGAAAGCGTTACAAAGAATTTATTCTCGCAAGTTTCTTATCTCTTTCAGCATCATTTGAATGGCGAGAGAAATATTATAAATCTATAAAAACTGTTTTATACTATTCGTACGCGTAGAGTTTGCTTCTAAAGATAAACATCTGTCCTATTGGTTGAAGATTAATCTTCTCATGCACGAATAAGATGGATGCCTGTCTTTGGGGCACAGTATTCATGCAATAGTTATATAATCATTGTATTAGCTAAATACAATTTATTGGAATAAAAATTGTCCATACGTAGCATGATGACATCAGTACTAGCTGTGGAGATAAACTACCACAAACACATTTTCATATCTACTTTTATAGTTGACGTTACAATTTCTTATGCATAATAAAAAACGAAGCCTTAGATTCTGAAGTAGTAAAGAACTTTATCATTTTTCATAGCATGTTGAATTGACGTATCTCGCAAAGGAAGTACATACAACATAACTAATCTTTACAGGAGATAATCAATACTCCTAGCATAAAGTAAAAGTTTTGAAATATGTTGCGGAAAAGTGAATCGTTTCAGTTTCTCGAGTGCGTTGTGTAAACTATGATAGTGTTTCTTTTAAATCTCAAATACCGTCGGTTTACCTATTTTTATCAACCTGTGCGCTAATAAAAAAACAGCTGCTATAAATCGCCTGAATCTTCCCTGTAGACGTATAATCGAGTTTAGTGAACGTATTCCGTCGTATAGCCGTCAGATGGCCATTCACGTTCCCTGTGGTTCCCTCGTTCCCTGTTGCATACGTCAGTGAATGAGTGACCATACGCGTGGCGTTTGCTCAGCGTTATCAGTCTAAGATGAACCATATATTTGTAATCTGTCGCTCACTTCTTTAGATTACATTATGAACTGTGACTTAAGCCTGTAATTAAAGACCATCTGAATGAAATAAAGTGAAAGTCCAAGAGTCTAATGCCTGTAACATCTAAGAATGATGAACTTAAAACATGACATTGCCTGTTGCATTTCAGTTTTATTTATTTTAAGTCTTGCTAATGCTGACTACCAAACTTATCTGAACCTTCAGGTAAATAAAAACCTTATATTAATAGCTTTGAAATAAATAAATATAAGAGTGATTTATGTGTGCGCAACTTGGAGAAGAAATCTGTGGGAACATTGGAATAAATAATGTAATCATTATTACAGCATAGACCATTGCATTTGCCTGATAAGAAATTTGGATTCAATGAGTACTCTGAAGATGTTGAAAACGACGAGAAAGATAAAGCGGATTTACAAGTAGTGTCACAATGGGATTCGATGCCTGCATCGTACGACAATGAGCGTATATCAAAAACTGCAACAGATTTTGAGGTACATTCTTTGGATGTGCTTGATAAAAGTGAGTATAAGTTCTAGATTTTGTAAATAGTATGGATTACATACAGCTTATCCTGATTGATATACATGTGTTTGATGTACAGATATAGAATGGGATTCTCATTGGGCTAACAATTTGAAGTTCTGTCAGATATCTGCAGTGTCTATAGATCCAAATGGCGACATTGGAATATTTCACAGAGGATCACGAATCTGGGGCCTTAGTACATTTGATATGAATAACAGATTCAATCAAAGCAATGGCCCAATTAGAGAAAATACTATTATTCTTTTGAATAAGTCGGGTAAGAAACTATTTGAATGGGGTGCAAACATGTTCTACCTGCCACACGGTTTAACAATTGACTCGTATGGAAATTATTGGATTACCGATGTTGCCTTACATCAGGTATTTAAATTTGATGCTGAAGACATAGCAATAATGAGAAACAAGGCAAAATTGAAGAAAAGAGAGTATAATCAGGAATCAATCCATTTTGATAATCACAATATTAAGCGTTTGGTACAAAGTTATACTCCTAAACCAACACTTGTTCTTGGAAAAGCTTTTGAACCTGGCAATAGTGATAGGCGATTTTGCAAACCAACAGCAGTGGCTGTACAGAATAATGGTGACTTTTTTGTCAGCGATGGATATTGCAACTCTAGAATCATTAAGTTTAATGCGAAAGGAGAAAGGATTCTCCAATGGGGCCGACATTGGGGAGGAGAAGGTAAGCTTGTAATGATAAGTTGTTAATAACACAAATTACTTTACAATACTATGAATACATTTCTGATTGTAGCAAACATGTATGTACAAACTCCTCCGGTAAATGCATTCTTAGTACCACATGCTTTAGCTCTGGCTAGTGAATATAACTTAATTTTTGTCGCTGATAGAGAAAATGGTAGAGTTTTATCTTTCTCTGCAAAGGATGGAACATTTCAGAAAGAATATAAGCATCCTGCAATTGGCACAAAGATCTACAGTGTAGCATATGCTAAAGAAAAGCTATATTTAATTAATGGACCTGATGCAAATTATAATATCCATATACGAGGATTCATTCTTGATATAAATTCAGGAAATATATTATCTCAGTTTGGGCCTGAACATTATATGGACAGGCCACACGATATAGCCGTGACGAAAAATGGATCAGAAATATATGTAGTGGAATTAGATAATCACACTGTGTACAGATTTTTGCAAGGTAAAATTGTTCATTTTTTAATTAAATTATTGATTAAATATTCGTGTTTAAATATTTGTATTTTTGTTTTGCAGATACAAATGCTTCCATGCAAACTGGAAATGTAGCAATGAACACGAATGCTCATCGTGAACCTGCATCTTTAACGGACAGTAACTCTAACAATCCTTCCACTGGAGGTACTACAACAGCAACATTAGTCTTTTACCTTGTTACAGCAGCAGTCACTTTTATTGCCTTGTGTGTAACAATTGCTGCAATTGTAGCAAGATGTCAAAAAAGAGGTAGATTGTTTCAGTATGATGAATCTGCTGTCGAATTCGCAAAACTAGTCGAATAAGAGTATTCGTTTGACTAATTTTTGATTGTTGAATAATAGCTGTGCACGCATGTCGAATAGTTTAGTAAAAATCCAGCGTTTGGTAGTGACTTTGTCAAATGTAGTTACTAATCTTACGAATCTATCACATGCTATTTAACCGAGCGTGATTTCCTAAATGTCTACTAAAGGATGGAAGAACCAGTGAGATTTATAGAGTTCAAAATTTAGAAACCAGCTATTTTTTTTATATAATTTCTTTAAAAATTATTGATCTTTATGCTGCAAAAAATTTGACAAGCTTTTGTACTGGCTTTGCACGTGTTTGATGCACCTTAATGCTGTTCTATCATTTAATGAGTGAGATCTGAATGTACATATAAATAAAATATTTATATAACTGTGTTTATTTTTGAAGCAAGTAATTAATTTTAACGAAGTCTTTACGAAAAATATTTTTAGAATGGGGCCAGTACAAGAGGATTGTATATAAATATGTATCAGATGTGGTTAAACGGTTGAGTGCTATTTTAACCATTATTTTTATTCCAATCACTGAATACTGAAATTAATATTTAATCTTCCTATTTTACATAGAAGGATGGTTCAAGTTTTTATATTCTATCATGTGAGTTAATTAGATAACTTGCTCGTAAAATATGACTATAAACTTAAATACCACATTAATCAACATTCCATCTACTTCGCTTGATGTCCATTTAAATAGTAGAATATTTAATAATTTATGTACTTATTGTGTAAATATTATTTACAATTTTCTGTGATCGCACAAGTGTAAAATATATTTTATTTATATTCTTATTATTGATCTTGATACTGCATTCAGAACTTATGTGCTTCGTTATGAAACTCGAATTCTTCTTAAGAATTTTTACAGTATTTTTCGTGTGTACTTAGCTTGAAACATTGCATTTCTTTTGTTCTACCTCTTGTATGATAATGGTTCATTTATTTATTTTACATGTCCATACCTTGTAAACAAAAATATACGTGTTTTCATTTCAACTGTGTTTTTGGTTATTGCCCTGCATATTATCCTATTTATCTGTCAGCAAGTTAACGTAAGTATTGCATAGTATTGTAGTGCACGACGCTTACAGTTGTATAGCAGCTACATTTCATGCTACATATGCTGTTTTTGCAATGCATTCTTTTATACTAACGAATACACTATCTTGTATTTTGGTAAAGAATTAAATTTTAAATATTATAGACTAAAATCCATAAATTAGTAATGTATTTAGAGAGGTATATAATTTTAAGCATTCAGTTACATGTAGAATTCTAATTAGTGAGGTATTCGTCATTCGAATACTCTTCTGAGAAGTCATTTTGCCTATCACTGTTTGAAATTCGATATCTCTTGAAAAGATTGTCTAATGCCAAATTATTTTTACAAACAGGCTGTTTATTATTAATGCGAAAAAGAATGCGGTGGGAAGCAGAGAGGCGAGAGAACTTTAGACTGTCCAGTCTTTTAGAAGGCAGAAGAGGCAAAAGCTTCAAAATAATGGAGAAACGACCAAATCCGCGCGACTTTAGCAAATTGAATACGGAACCAGAAACCTCGGAAGACGAGCATCCAGAGAATAGTCTTTCGAGGATCGTTTAATAGGAATTCTCCATTCTCGATTATCAAGCGTACAAATTAAGAAGTCATACTTCAAATTCTTACAAAATATCCGTTTCCCCGTTCAATTTGACGCCTTTTGCTTGCGAATTTAAATCAGGGATGCCTTCATGCTTGACTTCACAACTGCTGTTTCAAATTGCGAGGTACGTCGACCAACTTTTCACGACTGTTGCCTTCTGACATCAGAATACTTAACCACCACTCGTTTAACTAAGTACGCGCAAATTTAATACGTTTACTGCGGTCGCCTTTTTCCTCGATTTTGCATATTCGACGATTCATATCTTTTTATATCTTAATTGATTGAATATTCGAAGTATCGCGAGCATACGTAACGAATAAAATTTCAACTTACATCAATGTTACGTTTTGATTAAATATGAATAACATCTATTTCTGTTAGTTATCAACTTAATTTTGTCCCGTGTCGCAGTGAACGTATTAATTAATTCAATTTTGCATAAGATACTACTAATGTATGTTTTAAATGATTCCTAAAACCGGAGAAGTATTAAAATGTTTTCCCTGTTGTTGAGAAACGAGATATACTCGATTACAATATACGACATATGTGTATATTTAAAGATAACAATTGTGATCGATACGCGTCTGCGATTATTCGATCAATCGAATATTGAATTTACAACATATGTGTGCGCTTTTCAATATTTTCAGAAAAAAGAAATGTTTCAATTCGTATGTCCCAAGATTAGAAACATTATTTTGAAAATCGATGTTAAGTTCCACAGTCAATTACAGAACTAGAAGTTAAACTGTTTTTTAGAAAATATTAATATCTTTTAACCCTTTATACAATTATTTCTTATTTTAGTAATTTAGTTTATAAAATTATTTATTCTCCATTGATGATCAATATAAACTACTAACCGATACATGAAACAAATAAAAAAAGACAGAAAATATCTTGTTATTTGAAAACGTTGAGTAAGATGATAATATCGATATACCTAGTATATGTTTAAAATTTAAAAGAGTTAACTCTAAGGATAGTTGTTTCAGAATATTATAACTTACCTGATAACAATGGCCTTGCAAATGATACTTGGAAAGTGACCAAACTTGTGCTATATATACTATCTGTCAATATCTGTTTACAAATTATATAATGTAATTATGTATTGTAAATCATTGACATATCCCTTTAATGATACAAGGAAAACAACTACAAAATCTATATTTCGTCTCGAATATAATCATACTCTTATCGTTATACACTCGATGCTCTTTAC